CCCCAAAACCCCAAAACCCCAAAACCCCCAAAACCCCAAAACCCCAAAACCCCAAAACCCCTAGTTTTCGCCAAGTTTTTGAATGTGCATAAAATAGTTGAATAAGGAGGGGAATAATGGGAAGAGAGTGGGGAAATTGGATTATTCAGTGAAGTTATTAGGCTGAGGTGATGGGGAATGAGCAGGTGGGATGGAAGAGCATAGTTCTGAGAGTTCAAAAAGTTCGGCAGGGGTTAGGTTATCTGTTAGATCTGGATCTTGGAGAATTCTTGAGAGTATGATGGAGAGACAGGGGATTTCTTTAAACAATCTGAACAAACCGCATTTGTTGTTGTTATATTTTAAAGGCTTAATCTTTGATATGAGACTTAAAATCTCATTAGACTTCACACCATCAATATTGACACTCTGGATCAATGATTGCACTTTTGTAATCATACTTCCTTGCTTCTGTTTTTGAGATAAATATAGAAACTCACAAAAGAGTTTGATTGTATCTCAAGGACCAATTACTGCCTCAAAAAGTTCTACAAAACCGATAGCATAAACTATAGAGTAGGTTTCATAGAAATATCTGGGGCTCTGATCCTTCTTTCTAAAGTAGGACAAATAATGGCTATAAATCTTCCATGGGATGTCCAGGCAGATTCTAAGAACAGCCAGGATTTTTGCATCTTTATTTCTGATTTGGTTTGACTTTTCTAAAAAGACCTTTTACCATCTCCCATAAGGTATGATTTATAGTCATAGGATTAATTGGAAGTGAATAGTGCTTTCCTACGTTCTTCTCGATGAAGTAATTTTTGGATAACAACTCAACAGAAAATATTGACAGATCATTGTGCCAGTTCTTTCCATATTTTCTTGCCTTAGTTAGATTAGGTACTTCAATGTTACTACCGTTGACCTCGTTGATCTTCGCAATAGCCTTCTTTTTAGCCTTCTGGTCAGCCTTCTGGTCAGCCTTTTCGTCAACCTTTTCGTCAGCCTTTTCGTCAGCCTTTTTGTCAGCCTTCTCATTAGTCTTCTCATCAGCATGTTCATTAGTATGCTCATCAATTATATCATTAATCTTAGCAGCAGTAGTACTTTCCTCCATCGGTCCTTCTCTCTCATATGGAATCTGATTTACTCCATTAATAAGCGCATCATAGGGGGAGATTCCTATAGAATCTTGAAGCATCGCTATTTCATCTAATTCTTCTTTATATAGCACATCCCTAATCTCTTCAGGAGCTTCATAAACATCCTGGCACCAAACAGGCACAATCTCGTCAGTCCCATGTACCTTATCTCTTAATCTCTTACAATCATTCATTATTAACTCAAATACAATAATTATTATAATCCCTGGGGTTTTGGGGTTTTGGGGTTTTGGGGTTTTGGGGTTTTGGGGTTTTGGGG